TTACAAGAGCGACAGCACCTCGTAAGTGGGTCCTCCTTGGATGTCTGTTTTCTTTGATAGCGCAGAACTCCTATCGTCATATTAGCTATTATCACAGAGCCCAATGTCTTGACATACCTCATAAGTAGACAACAGAAGAATAGTCATCAGAATATCATCCACAGTGTGAGTAATGTCACCCTGCAACGCTTCCCTCGTCTTGGCGATAGCCCTGACAAACAACTGCTGCGCTGTCTGCAGAAATGATCGATTCCCCGTCCAAGCAGCCACAGAGAAGTACGACACGGCCAAAGTGCCGACATGTAAATGAGAGCCAGGCTGAGTATAACAGAAAACGTCAGGCAGGATATCCATGAACCCGCGCAGGATCAACGGATCTCGAGGTGAGTAGATGTACGAATTGAAGAACATCGCAGTCACAGTATCATCAGTCGGCAAAACCAACGTCCTTGGGACCTCCTCCTGCGCAGTGCGCAGTAGTGGTCCGGTCTGCGGAAGATCTGCGCTAGAGTTGGTGCTAATCAAAGCATCGTTGGATGATACCGGAGCAGGCGAAGATCGAACCGATTCCACTCGCATCTTCGGAGAAGACACTCTACTAGACGTATCTCGCTTCTTGCGGTGGAACGCTACTTGGTCTCTTAACATGACATCGAAAGGGTGCGGATAGCCAGGACATGTCCGGCCTGTCCGAACACACGCCCTGCAGTGTGGACGAGCTTCATCGCACTACATTATTAGCAAAATATTACTAGATGGTTTGGTTGCGTGCGCATACCTTGATCCGTCGTTTCCGACAGTTCTGGCACCCCGTGCTTGGCTTCCCGCCGTATACCATGATGGATATTGCTTTTCCGATCAGGCGGCAAGATTGGTCTCGGACTAATCGTTGGTGTATGCAGTCGGGTTCGGATCGTGGTTCCACACAAGCACAAGTACTAGCACTTCTGGAACGGTTCCTAGCAAGCCCATAGTTTGATGGTCGATCTACTGGATTGTCTGGCTGCCAGGGCTTGCTTGCATGTTCACTAGTTGTCGCACAGATCCAGCGTTGCGGGACCAAAGCCGTCAGGAAATCGGGCCTGTCAGGTGTCAGCCGATCGCCTTATCGTCGCTCACGTGGCGCATGAGTCAGCTTATCTTATCGTTCGATCAGGTTTGAGATGTTCGCATTGTCGTGCATTATGCTACACAATTAGACATAAGCATATAGAAGTGAAAGTCATGTTAATGAGAAAGCCATCTTAATCTGAAAGTCATTCAATCAAGCAAAGGGCACATCGCCCACCAACGCTGTTGAGGATATCAAGTACAAAATTCCATCGTAAAGTTCACAATTCCCAGCAAGCAAAAAGAGACAACATAAATCATGAAACATCATCATCTAATCATAAATACATCGCTATACCGTATTATCATTAATAGGCGTCATTTTTAAAAAGTCGAAGGGTATGTTCATAACGCATAATTCATCGCAAACATGAAGATCTGCGGCTGAAGCCGCATATATGCAATCAGGCAGCGGACAACCACCCAGTCATCGTACAAGAACACTTTTCTCAGGACACTTCAGTAGCATCCTATCGTGAATAGCCGGTAGTGATTAACATATCGGCCCGGCCAGGACGGTCGAAACGATCGATTCCGAGATGTTCCTTGCCATCCCGACCCACATAGATTCCAAAGCCGTACATGGAATGCTCTCGGTCGCCAGGAGGGGCAACAACCAGTCGGGTGACCAGATCCGCCTTGCTCCTAGGCTCACGCAGGATCTTGTCGGCTAGCAATGGGCTTTGGTATAGAAAGCTCATCTGATCGGCCAAGGTGCTAATGTCATGCGGCAAGCGGCGGCAGCGGCGGGGCCATATGCACAAGAAAGACACCATATAGAGTGCACAGAAGGCCACAATAGCATAGAATGCAGGCATCAGAGCAGAGATCAAAATCGTCCCATCAGACGGGTGGTACAGGGCGATAAACATCCCTCCGGCCAAGATAGGAATTGCCGCGGACATCGTGCTCACGAATGAAATCCAGGCCACCTTATAGTGCTTGTTCAGAATTGCCGCGAGTGTCACCTGCAGGGGAAAGCAGGACGTGTAAGACAATAAGAGACTCTGCTCTGCTCGAGCACCGGTCGGAGAAGCCAGAGCTGCAAACGGCTGCAGCGCACGGAAATAGACATCGATTGGCTGCCATGCCAGGAAGAGGACATTTCCAATGAAGGCAGGAACAAAACTGTAGCAGAAGTTGGATGAGGAGAATGCACCAGTAGACGGCAGGGTTGGCAAACGCGGAGGAAATCCGTCTTTAATCGCATCGTGAATGAAGCTGACCAAGACGAACGCAATAAACAAGGCGCAAATTATAATCGTCCACAGAACGACAAAGCCATCGCGAAGGAACCATGGGATCCAGCGATAACGGATCGCTGGCGAATACAGATGTTGATAGTACTCTTCCTTCTCTGCGAGGCCATGCTGCTCAACGTCGAATGATACCCTTGACAGGCCGTGCGACTGCATCTGAAGATTCTTCTCCTTGCGGTGCAATGATGGTGTCCGAACTGGTGCATCTACCTCGCCGATTCCGTAGAATATATCCGCCCGGTTTGATAGTTTCCAGTAGCCCAACCGTAAGAAGCGGGGATCAAGAGACTCGCCTACATTTGACAAGGTCTCGGATTGTTCAAAGTCGTGCAAAATGTTCGATCGCTGAATGATTGAAATCAGATCGGCCAAGCTCACAGGGTCCCACATTAATCCCGACCATGTGCGTACAAATCGAAACATGAGCAGGAGCAGGCCAATGGTCAACAACGCATAGATGGCCACGAGGGTCCAGCCAACCGCCGAAACTGAGGCCCACCGCCATGTCCCCTGTCCGTCAATCAAGAACCACTTAGCCTGGAAGAGGCAACTCAACAGTGGTAAGGTGATCAAGTTCGACAGCCACATGGTGAACAGAGTGAAACCAACTATTCCCTCGCCATGCCGGAAGTATGAGAAGTCCGGGATCAGAAAGTTCCGTGATAAGATAGGCAGGCTCTGGAGGACATGACCAAGAGGCCGCTCTGAAGCCATGATGGCAAACGGCATGATTCTATACACTGCCGCTTGGATCACAAACGTCCAGATAGTAATGATCATCCCCAAGATTTGGGGTAGGAATTGCATCACAAAGTAATGCGAACCGCCTAGTCCAGTATAGTCCCAGAGCCCATCATGCCGCCGCGACCATACATTGCAGAAGCTGAGTCCAGCAATCATAAGCAGGCAACAGATAATTATGGCAGCCAGTGCCCATGACCGCAAGACTGTAGGCACATAGTCCAATGGTGGGTACAACAGGCTGTCATGTGGGGGTTCAACAGCGACAAACGATTCTGGATCTACTGAGCTTTGAGGTGCCCTTCCGATAGAGTCGGTTGATTGTTGCGGCGGCCGTACTGGTGGTGTTGCCGATTGACCAGGCGAGCGAATGAAGCAGCCCAATCCTTCATCCCAGAGCAGTGGCTCGAGAGGACTGTCATTGCTAGCGAGCGAGCTTCGCCGTCTGGGCCCTGCAACTTCCTCGTCCCGCGTAAGTTGACTGATGGCGAAATGAATGTATGGCGAGTCGTCTACCCCAGGAGTAGGCGGCCGCCCCGCATAGCTGTCACTGGGCTCCCGGCGACTCGTGGTCTCTGACATGGGGCTGGGCTCAGGGTCTTCCTCTTCGACTGCACGTATTGTTTGAGAAGGGGGTGTAACAAAATTCCTGTTCTCGCTCGGAACGTTCAAAGAATGCTCCGATCGTGCACCAGCCGGCAGCGGGGCTAGATTCGTTCGAGAGATGCTAGGAGACGGTGTTCGAGACGGAGGATGAGAGTTTGGTGTCGCATACCGCGCCACGGTGAGTCGACTGCCGCTGGCTCGGGATCTTGCACTTGAAGAAGGGCTTGAGAAGGAGTAGTAGTCGTCGGAGGCGGCGATCGACTGTTGAGACTGGGTGTGCATTAATTGTGGTCTGCTAGCTGTGAGGGAATCAGTCATCGGTCAGGCTGATTTCGAAGACGCATCATGCTTTATTTCTTGGCTGGGGTGCCAAGGTTATGCAGAGTAAACTTACAACTGACAGTCCTGAGACTCACATTCCCAGAGCCCGGAGCGAGCATGGCGGCGGCCGAAATGCAACCGAGGAATGTATGCGGTGAACAGCTCACTTGCAGTGCGGATTGTGGATGTGTCCGATGAACATTCCCCCAGATGCAGACCCTGTACCTGCCCACGAGGTAATAAGAGGCAAGTGCAGCAAACAAAAAGGCAAGGGACGATGCTGAATTGGGCTGGTATCACGGTTTGGGGTGGTTGGTTATACGGGCGACCATGTCTCCCAGCCTCCTCGGGCCCAGCCACCACAAGCCCGAGGAGCAAAGGGCCGATCGGACAGCGCAGGGCATTAGTGCCTGTTTAGCCCTTGGGATCATCGACATGGTCATCCCTGATTGGACGATATTGTCGACGAGACATGATGTTCAACCTGTCAGGGAGACTAAGGATGTGTGACGGGGGTTGAGTTGGCCCTTGATGGATGGATCGCCTTGAATTGAGAGCCACCGCCCGATCCTAGGTTGCGGCCCGATCCACTCAGACCCTTGGTTTCCCACCCACGGTTCCCATCACATCACATTGTGATAGTGAAAAGGTTGTTTTCCAGGGGTAGAAGTTGTTTATTTTGTCTAGATATCAGATGTATGATTAGGAATACTGTTGAGTACTGCTAACATTACAAATGCACGTGGTCTCCGGACTCTATGGGGAGTAATAAGAAGGGAATATATATTTCTCCCGCGCAACCTATACATCTACTCTGAATGTTATCATGTTCAACCATACAAACCCCAGGAAATACGACCGATTTGCGGTCATTGTATTAGTAAATATCATGTGCTGCAGTCTATAACTAAAAATTAGTACTATGGATAGGAAATATACTCATATGTACCCCAGCCATTGCCGTTATGAATCATACAAATATCCGGCAATGACTCCTCCCCAACCGCCAGCATTGTCACTCTGAGTAGCAATGACCTTGGTTCCTTCAAGAACCATATTGGTCGTGCTCTTCGTATTGGTTCCATACAGGTAGATGGAGGTTGAATTGGATATGTCAATTGCATTGGTCTGGCAGTCACCGCTGCAATCACCATTGTTGTTGAAAAAGACCCAGTTGCAACCACCGTAGAGGAAGAGGTCGGACGAGCCATAAATGCGTTCAAACAATGCCATGCGACATTTGCTATCATTGGCAGCGCAGTTGCTAAAGTCTGGATCACTGGTGTCGAGATACTCCCATGGGGCTGGGTTGAGAGCGCGGCTCCCTGCTCCCTGCCAGTATGGTGTTTCACTCTGCTGCATTGCAGTGAAGACGTTCCGGGCATACTGAAAGTTGTACTGGTAGAGTGTGTTGTGCTCGGATCCTGTTCCAATGAGCCAGGTCGCGGCTGTACCTTCCACTAGTAGCCCACGGCCGGTGGAGATGGTTTGCGGGTTGTCCCCATCGAGATCGTGATCGGCTGTCCATCCCCACATGTTCTCAATGTAGGCAGATGATGTACTGGTTAGGTGGAGGAGCCCCCAGGCTGCCTTGCAGTCATTGGGGTCGTCCGTACATAAACTCTCCACTTGGCTACCCGCCGCTCCACCAATTCGGAAATGCGAATTCCAGAAGCCAACGTCCCCGGGTGACCTGGCAGCGATGTTGACCTCAACCTACAACAGAATGACATATTAGCGACCATCTTACAGAGACTCAAGAGACATCACGTCTTACCAACTTGCAGCCCGGCAGAACATCTGCCACAGTGAACACCAGGTCACTAATTTGTGCAACACCCACATCTCCAGGATACCCTACCCGGATCATGGCGCGAGGAGCAGACTCATCCTCAAAGTTGCTTCCGACAGCACTAATCGTCGAGGCATATGCATCACCGATGATCCGCGTACCAGCAGGCACGAAAATGGTATCTGTAACAATGTATGTACCGGCGGGGAAATACATGAGCGAGCAAGATGTCTTGTAGCGGGACAAGATAAGGTTAATGTTCCGAGTATCATCCGTCTCGCCGTCCCCATAAACCGGGATACCAGGAACATTTTTAATGTTCAGGACCTGCCCGGTGCTATACTCTTGATACGTTGGGGGCGCCATGGTAAAATAGTTCTTCCCTGACAAAAGCGATGAGGAGCGGGATGTAGTGACTGTCTGGCCCTGTTGCGATTGGAACTTGGCATTGTTGGAAGTATACTATGGTTGAGTCAGATCAACCTGCTTTCCTTGGTCCGGGGGTGCACTTCATCAACTTACCAGATGTCCATGTACCCAAGTGTTGGCAACATTTCCGCTCAACGTGGTTTGTCCTCCTATCTTCACTGTGGCGCCTGAATTCTGAACGTTGTCTAGGACGATAGAATTTCCTGCAGTGTTCGAACTAGATGATGAAATAAGAGTACCCATGCCAACACCAGTAGTATCGACGACGGTCAGAGATCCGGATGTGCCTTGCGCGTCAATTCCCAGGGTACCCTGTTCGAAGCGACAGCCCAAGAATACAATATCGGTCCCTCCAGCCTGAACGCCAGTAGTGGTACCACTGAATGAGATGTTCTTGAATACCCATTGTTGGCCACTCAACTTCATGCCGGTTGCGCCGCCTTTGAACCAAAGGTCATTCTGTAAGCTGTCAGCGCTATGCCATTATAACAGTAGAGAGCACAATTACCAGAATCAAGTTACTGTTGTAGTCGTATTGTGTAGTTAGGCCGACGTGCTTGGCAGTGTTTGTAGGCATATTGAACCCGACATTGGTGAGCTGAGTCGCCTGGCTAACGGTCCAATCAAGAAGAGTGATGGATTTATCAGCCCCGATACCGGTCGAGTCGATGATAATGTTCTTAATTCCGAGATAGAAATTGATCGTACCCCCAAAGTTGGGATCCTTGGCGTAGATGATATGATCGTCCGCGAAATCTGATGATGCCTTGAGGACTGGAGGGTTCGTGGGGTCACCTATAATGACAGTCCCAAGGTACAGTTGCAGAGATGACTTCATAAGATACGTTCCTGCTGGCAAGTAGATGATAGCAGGTTGTCCAGTAGTACCCATGGAATTGGAACTGCGGTCAGGCCCATTTGACGGTCCAGCTATGTAATGTTCAGTCTTAGAAAATGCTTGGAGTGATTGACCGACTCAACCATACCTTTGATTGCAGCTGAGATAGCTGCTGCTGCATCCTTCTTTCCAGTATTGTCCGCGCCAAAATCCTTGACAACGTTGCGGAAGACAGTGTAGTTGTCCTTGTACTTCGAATCCATGAAGGAAGACTGTCCATTATGATCAATCTGTTCATACCAGTATCCAGTTGAGTTGCTGGATGACGAGCAAAGGGAATCTTCCGCCAGTGTCGAATGAGTTATGGGGGCGGTTGTTCGATAAAGCCATGGTTGAGCAGATTGGTTCTTTATCGTAAAAGGAATTCCGCTAGTTTAAGTCAGCACTTGCAGATATGCGATATGAGACAAAGTGTAAAATATAAGACTCACGAGGGCTTGGGTTGGTAATTGAATGGAGGAAATTGTTGTAACGGTGACATAACACGGGACGCTGAGCTATTCCTCGATCCTCCATGGGGCACTGCCCATACTTGAAGTGAAAAGATGCATAATATAGTTACAAGAAAGGAGATGGTAGGGGAGCCCATGATTGAGACCTTTTGAAGGTGGTGTAGGGGAAATTACACAACAGAAATCAAGGCTCGACAGGAAGCAAATCCATTCAATCCGAACGAACAGACCGTATACTGTCTCGTTAGAATCGGAACGGTCTGACAGGACCTGAGCGAGAGAAAGAACAAATGGCCCAGGTCGGTAGCCTGATTCGGGACCATGAATACAAGAGGCGAAGACCATACTTAAATCAAACCATTCATGGTTCTGAGCTCGAAGACTTGCCCAGCCTGCACCTGCATACCAGGACAGGGCCGAGGCATGGCAGGCCCAGTCAATCCCCGCCGCCATAGAATCCGCATACTTGGGCATTGGGTCCAATTCAGGGAATGGGGCACTGCGCCTGGCACAAGACAACATTTCAAGTTTGACAAATTATGTGGTCGGGACAGATGTTTTGCTTTTTCTGCTTCCTTAAACTTTACTCCTTTCCGCTTGGCCCAGATCCACTCGGAGAACAAGGTTCAATGTTGACATTACCCCTTTCCGACGGGCAGGCAAATCCGCTCTGTTGCATTGATGCGAGATGTGGGATAAAGCGAGGCCAGTAAAAAGGCAGAAATCAAATTATGACAGGAAACAGACTTGAGGTGCCGAATGGAGGAGCGAGACAAACGGTCATGTTAGCATCCGCGGTGTCACACGTATAGTAGTAGTCTGGTGGCCTGCTGATCATTGCAGACAGCTCGGCGGGAGGCTTGGAAGGTACCGGATGAGAGACTGCATGCCGCAGAACACATGCCGACCCGCAACCTTGGAGGGAAACACGTAGACCCTGGATGGCAGAGCCCGAGTTATGGACGTGTCAGTCACGTGAGTGAGTCGGCTGGTGGTCTGCTGTACATGAATGCCTCATCTTTCATCCTGGCTTGATGTCGGAATCTTCAAACCTTCATAGACCAAGATGGCCTTGCTTACGCTGTGCACGCCTCGTCATTTAATTAACTACCCCACAAACATAGCTAACCGTGCCCACCTTCCCATCTCCTAGGAACGTTCCTGGCCATTGGCTAATAGGCGACAGTCCATGCTGTTACTACGATATTTCGTATGTTCTTCGCGCTTGAGACAATAAATTCTCTTGATCTTTCAATCTCGAAATCGGCAGTTCAGGAGCGGAGAAAGGTCCCGAGAACTCGACGGTGTTGTTCATGATTCCCAGATCGTGTGCAAGGGGTGGAGTGAATCTACTACTCTTGCCCCTTACCCATCAACTATCTTAGACTAAGACACAATAATCTCCTTACATATAGCTTGTCTACAAATAAAATTGTGGCTCCGGGCGACCCGTCCGGGTGAAGCTCGGCCTTTGTTTGCCAACATAACGCGCAGTTTCACTAGAGTCGAATCCTTATATTCTATTTTCGGTGAGGTTGGAGAGCTGGCCAGCCTGCCGCTACGTGCGATACAACTCAGGGCTGGTGTATTCATCGCTTGGTAAACTAAATTCAAGTCGTAGAACTCCGCAGTTGGCATGCTGGTTGTATATAGACATAACCGTTAAAGCCCGGACATGGTAGGTTCCGGTAGATTGATTCTTTCTGATGCACTATATCTGTAGATCACCAGCCGTGAGCTACACTAAGTGGATTCTCCGAGCCAGTCGAAAACATGATGGGGAAGCCTTGCGACCAGGAACATTGCTCCTGCCTCGAGTAGCTTGCAAATGGAGCTCGCCGTGGCTAAAGGAAGTTGCCATCTCGCAAGCCGTTCGGTCGCGATTGAGGATGGCTGCATTTCCATTAGCTTAACATGAGGTAGATTCCATCTGCAATTCTCGTTGACAGTCACGTCAGGTGATTTCTTTCCTTGAGATATAACAGCGCAACTTGAACTTTCTAGCATGTCTCAGCAGGCTGTATTTGCATGAGACACCGAGTCATTCGTGTCCGACAAGATGGATCGCTTGCCAACTGAAATTCTCGAGACGATCGGGACCTTCGTAGACGACAAGCCCACACAAAGGGCTTTGACTGAAAGCTCTGTCGAATTTCACACGCTGTTTACACCACGTCTCTATTCCTCTATCATCCTACCAAGCATCTGGACACCTGTCCAATTTGATCTTATTCGACGACTGTGCTCTTCGCCTGAGTTGGCGAGACTTGTTCATCACTTTGCTTTCAGGATTCGGGGGTGCGACGACTACGGCGAGGATGAACTCCCCCCGAGGCGCAAAGAGTATAAGCCCTTCATTGATGAACTTGTGGCTGCATTATGTGAACTGGGATGTGATAAATGGGTGTGGTGGGAAGGTCTGGAGAGCTTATCTGAAGACGCATGGGCTTGCGCAACGCTCATTAAATTGACTCGTCTAACTACTTTGAAGGTCAGTCTTGAGAACTATGATTTTTCGGATCTCACAGAGACGTACCTAGCAAGAATCTGGAGATCAGCAGCTTTTCGTCCACAACCACCAGTCCACGCTGCTCCATTTCAACGTCTCAAAGATATCTTTCTCTTCCAAAACCGCCGGCAGATCTCAGCACAAACACTGCTTACTTCACAGCATATACTGTATTCGCTCTGTTTTCCAGCTCTCAACCATGTCAGTGTGTGCGGACATTTTGACTATTGGGATTATGAACAAGATCTCGAAAAGTGCCTGCGTTACGACAAGTTCATGATTACAAATTGTCCAGTCTAATGGGTTACTATATGGCCGTCAGAATATTGCAACGAAATCATTCAATGGTTCAGAGCATCGACAAATCTCGAGCGTCTTAATCTTGTGATAAGTCAGGTGGAGCGTGAACCGCCTGAGATAACAGTCACCGACTATTCACGCCAAGGGCTCCTAATGGTCAAGGATACCCTAAAGTCTCTTTCTATTCAATGGGATGAAAGATTACAGCAAGGCTTTAGAGAAAGGGGGCCCAATTTCCATCGTCTCAAGATGAGTATTTTCCGATTGCCGTCACTCATGGAACTGGGTGCTCTGGAGCATTTCATTATACCACATTTAAATCTTAAAGGGCTTCCAGACCAACCCACATATGAGTATTCAAAATCCTTCATTAGCAATTTTCCTGCCTCACTCAATACACTCAGGATCACCGACATCAATTTCCATCTCATCACTTAATTACTCCTAGATATTGTGGGATTAGTCAAAGAGCGGACTTTCAGGCCCTCCCTGGAGTGTGTTTCTCTTGAAGCGTTCAAAAATGCAGACTCGAGGAGTACCTTCTGCGATGATGTCTCAATTCAAGGGTATCTGTCGCATAACGACCCCAGGATAAAGGGACAGGTTCGCCTTGATTTAGGACGGGATGCGGGGCTACTTAAACAGCATAATGCGCTGAAACCATATACTGAGAGCTATACCTTTCGAGTCTTTGAAGGAGCAGACCACCTTGATGCAGCTTCATTTGTCAGGCTGGCATCCTCAGTAGATGACAAGGTCTCTGTAAATATTAACATACAGCCGGACCCTTATTTTAGAAGAAAAAGATACCCCAATCATTGAAAACCGGTCCATGCCGCTGTTCCATGCGATTCAAGCATCCTTATTATGGAATAGCTAATAGCGATCGGTGTATGGATGCTTCCAGCTGCCTCTTCGCACGGACTTTACTTGCTTGACTGTACGGTTCTTATCTTTCCCGTAAAGTACATCAACTTAACAATTTTGCATCTTTTGAACAAATCAGAGAGCGTATATTATGCAGCTTGGTCATGCCACCACGATAGAATTACGTCCTCGTCAAAATGTGCTTCGTAGAACAAGCTCATAGGATGGAAGAAAACTGTGCTGTGAGCAGATTATTACGATATCGACAAGGCGTAATCGGCGCTAGAAAGGCTAAGCTCCGAAGGTGGGGCGGGAATATGATCCATCATCCAGTAGAACCCTCTGCCCTATAAGTAAGAACATGGTCGGGCAACTGCCTCTGCACCAAAGATTGTGAATTGATTTTTGTCACAGCCTCAGTGACTCGTCTGCCAAAATGCAGATGGAGGGTATGAGCGGGGGGACGTACTACGGCGTCTTGCACGCCTCCGACGTTGACTTTGCCAATATCACCCAGGTCGAGACGTTTCTGCATGAGCTCAAGCACCTGGAGTATCTTCCTATTTTAGGGGCACGCTATGCGGAGTATTTCTGGTATGGGGTTATTGTTCTGCTGGTCGTGGTGGCGGTCATCAACAGGGTGTACTCACTTGTTCAACGTTTGAGGTGAGTAGAGTTTTTCGGTAACTTGGTTCGGATATGATGCTGATAAGTAGGTGTTGCGGGAAGGCTTCGTCCTAGTATAATCCTAAATTCATACCTTGCCAATATCGTTTCGTCAACACTCGCAACTACCACAGCGCTGGCTCGGGAGCCATCTTATCTCCAGTGGACCCCCCGTGCGTTGTCACCTTGGTTTAAAATCCCGCCATTCGGACCGATTTATATCATCCTCATATACTTTGTTTTCATCATCGTTCTGGAGTTCGTCAACAACGATGTTGCAGGCGCTGGTTACTGGCAGTTTCTCGGAGTCCGCGCTGGATGGCTTGCAGCTGCCCAGATTCCCCTCCTTGTAGCATTGGCAGGGAAAAGGAACCTGATTGGTATGCTCTGCGGCATACCCTATGTGCGACTGAACATCTATCATCGCTGGGTATCTCGAGGGCTTCTGCTGCTCTCGACTTTTCATTTCGCCTTTCAAAACCATGGATGGGATATTTATCATATAAGTAGACTGGAGTGGGACACAGATGACTGTCCCACAAAGGGTATCGCCGCCTACGCTTTCATCCTATGGATGAATCTCACAACGTTGGCCCCCTTCCGACATATGAGCTACGAGTTCTTCGTCATACAACACATAATCACGTTCTTCGGCTTCATCATCGCCCTCTCCTATCATCTAGACACCGGCCCAGCCCCTAACGCTCAGCGCTACATCTACGTCACCGCCGGTATCTATGTCGCTGGTTTGATCCTGCGATTTGTTTACTACAGCTACATCAACTCTCGCCCCGCACGAGCCATACTAGAACCCCTGGAAGGAGGCGCTACCAAGGTTCGAATTACTGCTCGCAAGATACGTAATTGGAAGCCCGGCTCGCACATCCTTCTGTCAATCCCGCGACTAGGGCTCCAGCTCTCACACCCAGCAACCATCTCATCCATACCATCGTCTCACGACGGCGAACTAGTCCTGATCCTAAAAGCCCACAAGGGCTTCACGCGAAGGCTGATTAACACTGCGGAAGCCACACTCAACAGCCCCAAAGACGTCGAGTCTCCACAAAGCAAACGCTCATACACTGCTCTACTCGATGGCCCCTACGCAAGCTCTGCTCCAGACTTCACATCTTTCGATTCCGTCGTATTCCTCGCAGGTGGCACAGGTGTAACATTTACCCTATCCCAGCTTCTTCACGTCGCACACCGTTCCACAAACGGGCCATTGCCTCTCCGTCAAGTCCTCTTCATCTGGGTAATCAAGGAAAGACGCCAAGCGTCATGGGTTCTGGCCGAGCTTGAAGCCGCGATGCAGAAGCTGCAGAACACGAACATTCAGATCCGGGTGAAAATCTTCATAACGCAGGACTCTGTTTGCCTCCCAGATATCGACAGCACAATCAAAAATGAAAAACAGACCTGTGCCTGCACAGATACCTGCACCTGCTCTGACAACAGTGACGACGTCGACAAAATCGAACAAATAGCCCCTTCTTCACCCTGCACGGACCCCAATTCGGCCCTCGAAACCTCTGGACCTCCAAGTATCTCCTTCGCACAGGGAAGACCTTCGTTCGATGGTTACATCGAGGACGCCGTCTTGCAAGCTAGAGGCGAGATAGCTGTTGCTGTTTGCGGACCCATCGGACTAACCGTTTCTGTGCGACAGGCGGTGGTCCGGGTGTCGGATCATCTGGCCGTTTGTAAAGGGTCTGGATTGCCGGGAGTGTTTTTGCATGTGGAGAATGTGTGTTGATGACTATTTTATACTAGACTACAGTAATTTGCAGTGATTAAGACCTGGGCTGGGCGGGTGGATGGATGCAGTTGGTGCAATGTATATATCCGAGACGTGTACATAGTGCCATGAGGCCTGTGCGTTGAGGTTGAATGCCACTCATGATACGAATACGATAGTGTAGGTAACTAGGTATAGCCTGGCCCTAGTTGGGATTAAGATCCAGTCTACTTCGTAGATTAAGCAGAAATTTGTCTAAGGGCCTTGTTTAATTTTAAGTATCATCCTTGGCAATGGGATTTCGTAGTTTAGAAGAGTCCAAATATTATGGTCCTATGAGACATTCACTCGGGCCATAATTAATCCGAGTCGATGTTGATCCTGGCCACGTCATGTATGCCAACTCATTCAATTTAGTAACTGAATGAGGGGTAAGTATACTTCCTGATAAACCCGATTGAGAATGGTTGGATGCTATAACACCCATATGTAGCACCTCTTAGTCCTGATTCGACCTGATGTATCTCGCTAAATAAAAATAAAACAAAGATATACCCCATACTCACTTGCTATACAAACGTAAACCCAAAACACACCACTTAGGTGGAGAAAATGGTCCCCTTCAACTACTCAGAGCTTCGGCTCGGACCGAAAACTACACGTCTAGTCCGTCTTCTGCCATCCGAGAAAGACGAAACCCCCATAAGATGCGAGCTCATCACTTATGTACTGCCAGAGAGCACTGGTAGAAAGCATCTCTACGAGGCGTTGTCCTACGTATGGGGCAGCCAAATTGAGACTCGTACAATAACTGTCAACGGATGTGATTTTCATGTTACACGGAATCTTTACACAGCCTTGGTACACCTCCGAGACCATCAGCTGGAGAGAATATTATGGATTGACGCAATATGTATCAATCAAGAGGATGCTGATGAGAAGAGCGAGCAGATCCCGCTTATGCGGTCGATTTATGCACAAGCTGCTCGCGTTATTGTCTGGCTTGGAGAGGCTATGCGGGATGGTGATGAAGCACTCATGATTATTCAGCGCTGGGCAGCAGCTAGTAGCCCATCGGATGATAGCTTGTTGGATGATTGCTTATCGGATCCATGTTCAAGATTACTACGGCGCGATTGGTTCCAACGTGCATGGGTAAGGAAGCATTCGATACAACAAGCTTTGTATGCAAACCTAACCAGTTGTTATAGATACTTCAGGAAGTTGGTGTCGCCCGATGCATTTCCATCCTTTGTGGGTCCGTGGAGATCAATGGGCATGTTTTCTGTGAAGGCCTCGAAAACTGCCTACTCTCTCTGCCAAGCTTTATCTACCCAATCCTTCACCTGATCAAGGGCTCGTATCTCCGACCAAGATTTGAAATTGATTCATGTGGAACACTTGCTATAGGTGAATTGCTTGATATGTACCGCTTTCACAAGGCAACTATGCTACACGACAAGATATACTCATTGCTAGGCCTGTGCGTTGAAGATCCTGATGAGGTTGGTTTGAAGCCCAACTATCGTCTTCCATGGAATGAGGTCTTTATGCAGGCCATTATGCATGTATTCCCAAGTTCATGCTCTGTGGAGACATGGCCGGAGTCACCAGTTGCTGTGATCAAGGGGAAAGGGTTGGTTCTAGGTTATGTTGGCTTTGCTCAAAAGCATATTCTCAAGAATGGCTCTCAACAGATCGAGGTAAACTATAATGATACCGCTCACTCACTAGGTTACCAAGGCAAATGGGGCACTGAGTGGAGACTTAGAGTTTCTGCGGAGTCAGTTGAGCAAGGTGATATTATCTTCCTATTGAAGGGAGCCTCAAGTCCAATCATCATTAGACCCTGCAGCGGTTATTTCACTGTCGTCGTGAGCACAACAGCACTTCAGTCACATGACGATATGGAATGGTCTAATGGGGTTTCTACCCCAAAGGATTTCCTTACACAAAGTTCTCTGAACGACATTGTCTTGGTTTGGGACATATCCTCATCTGATGGGGAAAAGAATAAAGAACATGACGATCAAAATGACCTTATCTACTTGGTACCACGTTACCAAGAGAAAGCAGTCGAGAAGAAAAAAAGACTACAAGCAATATCACTCATCTCAGAAGGCATCATGACGCAAATACTGCAACAAAATGGGTCCGAGAAAGGGGATACGGCGCTATTGATGCTCCATCTACGTATTGGAAGGGGCCTACCAGACCTTAAGGAATTAATCAAGGCAGCTGCTGCAGACAGACGACTTGATGAAATTATGATGGTAGAGCAGCTCCTGAAACACGGTAGAGATAGCCTGCCAGTCTCTAAGAGTGTGGTCGCGGCGGCAGCAGCAAATGAGGAGCTTTTGGGGTTCATAGCACTGGAGCGGCTCCAGAAATACTGTGGAAAGTGTCTACCGGTCACTGAAGATGTGGTCAAGGCAGCAGCAGCAAATGAAGGATTTTTTGGGTATGGGATCATTAAGAGACTCCTACAACACTGTGGAGAAAGCATACCGGTCTCTGAAGAGGTGATCAAGGAAGCAGCAGCAAACACGGGACTTTATGGGCATATGATCACGGAGCAGCTCCTAGAACATTGTGGACGAGGAAGCATAATAGTCTCTAAAGATGTGATCAAGGCCGCAACAGCAAATAAACGTAATTTTTGGGATGAGACCGTACAGCAGAGGCTGGAAGATTTTGCAACGAGTCTACTAGATTTTGATGATGTGATTGACGCAGTAGCAGCAAATGAAGAGGTTGGGCAGGAGTTACTCCTAGCTTATGGAAAGCCAGAGCCTACCAGAATCTGAAGATGTGGTCAAGACAACAGAATCAATTGAAAGTTACAGATATCAAGTCAGGGAGCTGCTCCAGGAAGACTTAGGATCGCAAAGATTTCCTGTGGCTCTAAAGTATCGCAGTATTCTTTTATTGCTCCGTACAGGCACATCTCTTCTTTTCATTCGAGGCACTTGGATTAGCAGGCATCTGAAGGTCACACGCACGGCTACGCAGTCACCGCGCTGATGATCTCTACGCAGCCCGCGAAGCCTTATTAGATAGCGTTCTCAACATTTGTTAACCCCTTTGCCAAGGGGTGCCTGGAATAATGGGGGGTCTTTGATCTCACCATGGCCACTTCACGTGACCAGGGACGCCATGAAGAAAACTGCCCTTCGAAGGCGAAGCTGAGATCTCGATCTGCAGGACAGAAGGTTCTAGCTCTAGCTGATAGATGGCGTCTTCAAGTTCGTTACTTAGTGAATGGCACAGCTGGAATATTCCAAGAGTACTCCGTGTAAGTGGTGACACCAGTATCCGGAAACCCTGCACTGTAGGATCTGCTTTATCCTTTTGCGGTCGGCTATGACTTGGCGGGTACTGGCAGTGTTGGAGCCTTAGGCTGATTTGGTTGGAAACTAGGGGGGAGGATGTTGATTCAAACTGAATTGACCGGGTGATTTTTCAACAGTTGACAAGAGTACTACTCAATTCATCTTTAGATAGCTGCGAGGGGCCTGCCTAAAAGACATGTAAAAGTTATCCCATCTTTTTGGACACGAAACACAGGCATTCTGCGACAGTTTACTATGGTCCACTGTCGCTCGATGGCCAAGACGTCTGAGTGTCGAGCAATATTCCCCACTCACGTTTCGGAGCTCCGAAGGTGTACTATGTTTAGAGTTGTCAAATATACATAATCCAGAAAGTTGCTACCTATTTGCTTTCCGTAGCTTATCTCAAAGATAACGGAAATAGAGGGTATTTGGCGGACAGGGTGCTACTCAGAAAGTGGTCTAAAGCTAAGATTGAAGAAAGTATGTGTGCTGGTTGGTCAATTTTCGCGTGCAAGGTCAAGGGCCTTCGCAGTACTAAGACCCGATCGTCAAAGGAATTTCAGGGGGTAAAGCCCGTTTCATTGTCCCGGTGGTTTTCGATGCAGTGTACGGCAAACAGCACATACTGTCAGGGTAAGAATGTGTGCCTGTCAGCAGATTGTCAGAGTATGCCCCTGACGTATTATCCGATTCATGTGAAAATCCCTATGGCGAGCCTTAGGAAGAATGCAATGGCTGCCTCCGTGGGTCCAGTCCGTTAAAATCTCGCTTGTTTATTTTATGTGGGTATGCTTCGGGGATCCGAATTTCTCTCCCCGCGGTAGTTGATTCTAACTCCAACCGGTCCTTGGCTAAAACAAGTCTGCGGCACGAGTGACCAGATAGGCTTAGGAAAAACCAGATTGTACCTGGACGGGAGATGGGGTCAGACGGGACGTTCCACCTGGGCTTGCGAAGTGTGCGAAAGTGCGTTGGAAGATGGTTTGTTCGTTAGTCGTTACGCATGTGCCATTACGTAGAATTGTTCAAGGGTCTATTATTAGTAGTTTAGAACCCCAGAGAAATCCCGATTATGGAGTTGAGCCAATTTGTTTGCGCAGCATAGGGTGGTTCGTCCGAGCTTTTGAGATGTCAAACGGGCCCATCGTCATTTCAGACAAGTTGGACTCGTGGTGCGTGGGACCCGGCCCCATTATCGTTATCTGCGGTCCCGCGAATCAAAAGACACCTTTCCGTGGGAACGGGGGGCATTGCTTACTGCGCTTTTCAAGGCTGGTGGATGCGCATAGGCGGCTTAGCCACGGTAGGAGACGGGAGGACGAAAAAGACAGCAAGGTCAATGGATAGAGGCGAAATGGAAAAATTAAAAATCAGGGAATAAAGGCCACCAGGGTGAATGTGAATTGAAAACTAGGATGCAGCTGATCGGCAGGGAACAGAACAAGATGATGGGAAGGCAAGAATGAAGAGTGGATTGTGACTGACGGAGTGACGGGATTGAGAGTTGCACCGTGGCGGAGAATGACTTACTGACTAACAGACGGCCCCTCACCAATCACGAGCGGCTGATGCCGACTGTCTTCCCCTTCGATCATCTCACTTTCGCAGTCCAGGCCATCCGTTCATTCACCATCCAACTCAACCCAGTCGTTCTTTCGGTCCTCTCTTTCGGTTCCAATCCCTCCCCTCCCCCCGGATTCTCCTTCTTCGGATGAAGGTTCTCTCTTATTCTTCCCAATATTCTAGATAGTTAGTTCCAAGGGCTGCTCGCCAGAGCTGCCTCTTGTTCGCTCTTGGTCTCTCCGCCAACCTTTCTTATCGCGGCCGCAGCGCCGCTCCGCTCCCTTAATCGCCATGCTGCTCAAACCCGCCACTCCCCTCACCATCCTCCTCCTGATCGCATTTGCGCTTCTCCTCATCTCAGTCATCTCCACCCCTATCGTCAAAAGCATTGCGCTTGCGAGACATGATAATATCGATTATGGCGTGTTTGGATACTGCAAAGGCGATGTGTGCACCAGCATTCATGTTGGTTACGCCGACGGTTCGTCGCCCTCTTCTTGTGCCTTTGATCTCAATCTCGTCAAGACCGCTAAACTCCTGCATTAAACCGCAGCTGACTCTAGTTCAGATGATATTACTTCCGAAGACGGTACATTCAGCATTGCGCCTGGCACCCGCCGATCGCTCTCGGCCATTCTGATCGTCCATCCCGTCGCGGCCTTCCTCACACTTGTATGTCTATGTATGGCAGCAGCGGCTCATTTTCATGCACCGTCGCACTCGCCCCGCTACTTGCTAGCCTTGTTGATTCTACTGCTTCCTACCCTTCTTGTGTCACTCCTCGCCTTCCTCGTCGATATTCTCTTGTTTGTACCGCATATGGCCTGGGCAGGATGGATTGTCTTAGTTGCGACCATTTTACTTGTCACTTGCGGCGTGGTCACATGTGCAATGCGTCGGACACTTGTGAGCCGCAAGGCTAGGAAGAAGCGAATCAACGAAAACGCTGAAATGAGCGGGGAGAACTTCTACAACCGCCAAAACGCAGCGACGGCGGCAGCGGCAGCGAACATGGATACAAAGGAACCTGTGATCACTGGGTCTTCACCTTCATCTGAGACGGGCCCTACATTTGCTACTTTCCGTACGACTACACACGACAGTGATGACGACCGTACTCCACTGAACTCACGGACTGTTCAACCTGACCCTCCAATGCCCGATAGTCAGTTCACCCGCGTCCGGAGGGATATGGCGGCCTATAACTCTTCGCCTGACGATGCTGGTATCTCTGGTCCGCAGGCTCCACCATCCGATCCTCGTTTGCGCAATCAGTATTCCGACGGCAGTGTTGGCTCGCGGAGAGGGCCCCCTCCGCCAGGGTTTGCCCGCGGACGAGGTGGTTATCCACCGCGCGGGGCTTATGGCCGTGGTGGGCCTTACAGAGGACCACCTCGAGGACCGCCTCCGGGTGCAAACGGTGTCCCAATGGGTCCCATGCGCGGTGGACACCCCGGGATGATGGGACGAGGCTATCGAGGACCCCCTCCGGGTGATTACATGCCCGGGCCCGCTCCTCGACCAACCCCGCCACCTGAAGATGAGTACGGCTATCACCACCCACCGCCCGTCGCGCGAGAGCCGTCCCCTGGACCAATTGGAATGGCAGTATCTCCAGATCATGGTAGCCCAATCGGCCAGGCCATCGAAATGCAACCACAGCCACGACGAATGGGCTCTCATGAATCGCATGAAGGGCACCTCGAACCCCAGCCACATGCGCTATCAGCAGATGGCTATCCGGAACCTATTAGTCCCTCAAGCCTCTATAGTCGGACAGCGTAAGCTGTGTATCCTCTCCAACCTTTTCTTAGGATGCTAACAAATCCTAGATCCTATGTTCCTCCACGTGCCGGTTGGGCTCCAGAAGAACCGCGGGCCGGCCCCTCACCCTCACCTGTTCATGCATATGACGGGCCACGACAACATGCTCGAACTTCTTCAGCGGACTATTTTGAAGATGCAGACCCTCGGTTTGCTACTACCAACGAGTCGGCGGCAGGCAACCCTCGGTTGCCGGCTGTCTTGACACCAGGTGCTACTGGTGAGAGGAAACCGATGGAAGATATGGCCGAAGGACCCAGCTCACCGACTACTAGCGAAGTAAGCCACTTTACATCAATATCTGAGCGGCCTATCAATCCCCGCTGGCGCCCACCTCCCGTTCCAGCTCAGCGGAAGCATGACGTTCTCCTAGAAAACAACCCGGACTTTGACTTGCGGGCCGGTACTGGGCGAGGAGGAGGAGCTGCTGGTGTTGGTAGTCGCATGCCACCTATGTCAATACCTCGAGATGCGGCAAGATACCCCATTTGAACATAATCTTAATTCTTTCGTCTACACCATTGATGTGCTTGTCACAATCATCATGCCGGCCTTGCGTGGAGTTATGGAGTCTGTTATGGAGTCTGTCACTGGACTGCTTTCGTTGTGTTCATCACTTATCCTGTTATGCTTGCGCAGCATGACACTGCAAATAAGCGCCCCTGTCCGTTGCGTCGGTCCATGTATATGAAAAGTGGAAGATCCGGATGTACAATTGAACGGCTCTCTTGCTGTGATGTGGGCTTGATTGTCGTTAGTTATGATTGTTATGTTAGTTCGATAGCAGTGATTGATTATGAGATTAGCAGTTGTCTTCCTTTGCTGTATAATAGGGAAGACATGATTTCGAGTGTCCAATGGTAAATCCAACTAAGCGCCATAGCAAGTTTGTCTTCAGGCTAGAAATGTCGCCAAGCGCGGTCATGTGAGTCCTGCTCTTCTCAAAGGGATCAATCACTTGGCCTGCATGCAGTGCTACTTCCACCGCAGAAAAGCCTCTCGAGACGACTTCATTGCACTTGCCAATCAATATTGAGTCTACATTCTACTATAGCGCACTCCATCACGCAGCATATCCGTAAACAAGGCAGGTGAAAGTTAGTTCGTTAACATCCGCCAACAGCCCAGAAACTTACCAGTACCACCAGTGGTCCTCTCGCTCCACGATCCATCACCTCCGCGGATACCAGCAACCTTATGGTGCACATAATACAATCAAGGCAGTGCCTGTGGATCTGTGATGCAAAATACGACGCCACGACCTGTATCTGGCATACAAATGATGATTGTCATGGCAATACGAGCTGATTGCGGCTGCCTGCTCCGTGACCTGTGTTTTACTTGAAAATAGCCTTCGTCAGCGCAAGCTCTATTTGACACCCAAACATGACTGGTCAGCGAAGCGTGAAGCGATAAGAGATATAGCTACGGGACGCCCCCATCTGTTCGATCCGGAGGGGCTGTTTGTCTGGGCTCACATTTACAACGAGCAGAATGTTCGCAGTCGACACTGGAGAGAGACGCCAAGTAGTCTTGGACAAATGCCCAGCGTGGCTCAGCGGTAACTGAAATCAAAGTTTGCTGGATTTGGACAGACCAAAAAGCCACTTACTGCTGGCTCCTGGCGGAAGCATGACGGGTAAGTCTGTTATGGTCTACTGTTGGATAGCTCAAGTTTTGATGATGTGGTGTCTGACGTTGAAAAGTCCTTATACGAGTACTATCCAGCCATCTCGCCGTGATGTGGCTTATCAAGGCATCTAACACGATGAAACTCTTCATGATTCGGTTCTAGCTCATCCATCCCGTTCCATCCCGCATAGTATGGGGATCTACCCGGACTAGTGCGCCACCTGCCCAGATCCCACCACCGTTCACAGTCAGTACTGGATAGTCGATACCAAATCACAAAGAGGGCCGAGAATATAAGCTTGGCAGCTCCCGACCGACGGGTAGCATGAGCCTCTGCCGCTCAGCGGAACCGGATTGGCAGACCTGCCAAGATGGTGCCAAGGTGGCGCGCGGCGGAGGATACGATACGTCCAAAACCGAATACACTGAATCCCTGGATATTGTCGCCTGATGAGTCCGATGCGGTATTGCTATCCTGAACAATTCGAATCGCGAGGATGAGGCGTGTTTGTGTCGCATATTGGGCTGAAACTGAAACGTCCAGAGCGGCGGTGAAGACCAACCACGAGGATAATGCCAAACGTGCGTCTCTCCGATGGGAGTATCGAGTCGAAGGTTAGGACGAGTGATGATCTAACTTGGCGCGGAGACACGCGGGGGGCTCGCCATGATTATGAAGATCCAGGCAGTGTCTACCACATATAGATCCTACGTCCGGCACGTTGGATGCCCGAGTTAAGGAACTTTATCCATCAGAATCACCCAGCTCTACCACAGTCTCTTTGCAAACCCCTTAGTTACATCATGCAGACCTATCCTTCTGAAGATATTCAACCAGTCCCAGCAGCAAGGACAACAAACAGAGGACATCTCCAATTTGCCGAAGATAAGGGCGGACTCTGGTCCTCAGGCAATAGCACTAATGTTTCCCTCTCTGTCGGTCAGGCCGTAGAAGGAGGCCTTTATGCAACTATGACTCGGCACTTCAAAGCCGAGATCGATACCAGATACGCAGACATTGTTCTGATAGTTTGCGGGTTTGTCAGCGGGCTAGTTGACGGACTGTCCTTTAACGCATGGGGTAGCTTCTCAAGCATGCAGACAGGTACGCCATAGCAGCTGACTTGACTCGCTGAGAACGGCTTCTAATAGAGATTAGGGAATACCCTCTTCATCGCCCTCGGTGCCTCCGGCCAGCCTAGATATCCAGCTTACCTCTGGGCCAAATCTCTCATAGCCCTATGCACTTTCATTTCCAGCAACGTCATCTTCATCCAGGTAGCCAGAAGACTGAGCCCTCGCCGTCGTTCAACCATGATCCTCTCGTTCGCCACCCAGACCATCTGCCTCCTCGCTGCTGCCATCCTGGTTGAGGCCAAAGTGGTCTCCCCGAAGCCAGAAGACCCCCGGGCTCCGATTCAATGGATGCAGATTCTGCCTATTACCCTACTGGCCTTTCAAGCAGGTGGACAGATCTGTGCGTCAAGGATTCTCGCATATGATGAGATTCCTACAGTAGTCCTTACCACCTTGTTGTGTGATCTACTGGTCGACCCGGATCTGCTGGCAAAGAGGAATGCAAAGAGAAACAGAAGGATTGGGGCCTTCCTGGCGTTGTTCTTGGGAGCTATGACTGCAGGTGGATTGTCCAAGGTTGCTACCATGGCGAGTAGCTTGTGGTTCGCTTTTGGATTGAAGTTCACAATTACCCTTAGTTGGATCGTTTGGAGAGCCGAGGGAGGGAGTAAAGCTGGAGATATTGTGTGATTGGATCAAACCTCACCCTCTTATGATATGCGATGTTGACTTTCCCTCCTATATTGCCTGTTCTGCATTTAACACCAAGCCCACTGTTCAAGGATACTAAATTGTCACTATGTTCTGTCAATACCAATGCCATATATTATATCTCCATCTACATCACCACGTAGCCAAATCCATCTAGATCCCTTCCATTCCCAACCCAAAGACATAACATAAACGAACGCCTCAGCAACCCCCTACTCACTACCTCACATACCACACTTACCCCCCTCAACCCTCCTCAACACAATGCAATCCAACGCACCCCTATTCCCCAAGTGAATACCCACGCCAGCCTTACCCCCACCATCCCACTACACCCACTCCCAGATAATCAACATCAATCAGTCTAATCAGTTACGATCTCCTAAACCAATAAGATCCCCTCCCCGACCGAGATGTAGAAACAATCGCGAAAATCCACTCTAATAAGGCAACCAATAGCGACGCGCTGGGGGACGCGTCGAGAGGGTATGAGCCCTAGATGGGTATTTTATTCACTGTTAGGGAGGAGTGAGGATTGACAGTAATTCTATTGTGCTGTGGATGACATGGGCTGTGTATGCGGGTTGGTAGGTAGTAGATTGTCAGCGGTGCGGAATGGTGTTAATTCTGCGAGTATACTAATTAATATACTAAATCTATTATAGCAGGGACTAGCTCTATCTTATAACGACTGTATACTTAAGATGGCTCTGTGGGATGTCTACCTACATATTATCCTCATTAAACTGCTTAGTCTTCAACCGGAATATAGTTAGCAATAGAGATCCAATCCAATATGTCATGCAGAAAAAACACAAGATCTGCAGCCCCACAATCATCTTCTACTTTCTACAAAGCATCCATCTCTAGTGCATCAATAGTCCCTACCCATCAACCAAACTACAGTAAACCCAATAGTAATAAACCAAACACTGCCCGATTCTAACAAACCAAAATTTGAGGCTGGTGAAACGCCAAGCCGGCGAAACCATTTAAATTCCAGTTGAAAAAGTGTGGAACACTAAGCAGACAGGAAACGACAGAATATGATAGGATAAGATAGTATTAGACCCAGCGGAAACCCTCCGCGTATCTACGTACCCCATCAACAAGGCTGAAATGGGAGAAAAAGCAATATGATTCCTTTCAGAGACCCTGTGCGGTGTAAGTCAGCACAGGATTTTTAGTGATATAATACTATATGGAAAACATCGGAAAATACACAACTAGATATAACAAGTCTATTCTATTTAACTAACAAAGTAATTCACAAAATCTTACAACCTAAATAGTGATTGTGAAATATTCAAAAACAGCCGGGTTAGTCACCGCCACGTAAAGACGTACTAAAAATACCCCACGGCCCAGCCACGAACTAAACCCGAAGCAGCAGGAATTTACAGGGCGACGCCAAGTAGAACGCGTAGTGCTGGTCGCATGTGTGTGAGACGAGGTTAAATATGCGCCGGTGCTGCCTTGTCTTCATTCTTTTCTTTGAATATTTGTCTTGTCGCATATACCTATTCTAGCTATTTCCAGCCTTATCGAACAGTCCAACTCAAATCAACTCTCGTTAAGTTCATCGCAACCATGGCACCTCACTACATGGTCCTCGACCAACGGGCCATCGACCACCATATAATGAAGCGCGATCTCAGCGTTACACACGCCCAGGCAGTAACGTTAGGAGTGATGGCAGCGTATGTGGTTGTTATTGCGCTGCTTTGGAATTTGCCGTATGTGCGGTGGTCGTTGTGGCCGTTCAAGGTAACACCCCCTTCCAAACCGACCTCCTACCAAAGAATTAATACTAACAAATGGATAGATGCTAGTAATCGCCTTCCACGAATTCGGCCACGCCATAACAGCCTGCTGCACGGGCGGGCGCGTGAAATCCATCTCGCTCGACCCGCACGAAGGCGGCGTCACGCACATGCAAGGAGGAATGAGCGCCGTGACATTACCTGCTGGATACCTGGGATC